TCAATTTCCTCTGCTTAGCATTTAGTGTGTGTCCAACAAAGTTATAAATAGTCTAGACATTATAAATAGTCTAGACATCGCGAAGAGCTTAACTTATCCTTAAATACATATAGGTCACCGCTACACTTATAATATAATGATTATTATATTCATTAACCAGCTAACCACACAATTAACCTGTGAACCTAGAATTTTGAAGTTACAAATACTAGGTTGTGTTCCTGCTGATGGTGATTACTTTTTGAAGTCTAGCCCTGTGCTCCTTAATAATTTATTGATGTCTTCTCTTACAAGGCCGTTGCCAAATGATCGACCAAATTCTACTTTGACTTCTAATATTCTAGAGTAAATAATCATCCCTTAGTTAACAGTTTTTCTAGAGTTATACTCTCATGCAATATGTTTAAATTTTTCACTATGCATATTATTACATGCTCTCGCCAGAGTTATATCTCGCCAGAGTTATATTCACATGCAATATGTTAAAATTTTTCACTATGCATATTATTACATGCTCTCGCCATTGTAACATGATTATCACAATAACTTGTGATTGCTGATATCGACTATAGCCATATTAGTAGGTTTTCCAATAAATTCTTTAGCCATTCCGCTTTGCTACAAGAAGAATTAAAACTATAATTTTCAACTCCATTATTGAGTGCACAATATACATTTGTCTGGTTGACTTTCAAGAGACTGCTCCAACGACTAGTATAAATATCAATATGGATATTGATAGTGAATATTTGTTTTTCGTATTCCAATTCGTATTACGACATCCTTCCATTACCTCCTTTCAAATATTCAGTGATATCCCAATGCTCTTTACTAGGAAACTTGTATATCTACTGCAAATCCAATATCGAGCTCCATTTTACTCATTGCATATATTAGATTACGAACTATACTTGCATATTGTATTTAAGAGATACATTCCCTTTATTTTGTTTTAACATTATATGATGATCTATAGGCTTAGAAACTAGCTTACAATTAACTGTTTTGATTATAATTATTGTATTAATAGTTATGTTTATATTAACAATCATAACAGATAAAATACTATAACAATGCTAACGATTTAATTGCAACAAATATTACATTAGTTACAAAAAAATAATTAGAATTCTCATTAAATATTAGGAATATATTACGTTATGATTGTGTAATTAGCATAATTACAATAAGAATTCACCAATAATTATTTACATTATTATACTTAATCATTTTGATTATAATGTTAGATATAAGTAATTATTATAATGAAAAATGATAAGAGATACAAATGCTATTAACGATATAAATAATAGAATTGTAATATGTTAATAAATAATGCAATAACTTAAAAAATGGTTAGAATCCTAATTAAATATCATTAATATGTGATATTCATATAAGTATATTTTGTACTTTACATTGTTATAATAATTTAATATAATATTCATTAATTTATGAGTACGAAATATAGTTATGATTGAATTATTTATAATGACAATAATATCTTCACCACAACACTTAATTTGCTATAACAAATCCCTATGTTCTATCCCATATTATTATATAAACAATATAGTCATTTCACAAAGCATAATTTAACACACAATCACATAATATAAAGAGAGGGGATATGTCATATTTTCTCATTTGCTCTATTTATTTTCTCAGATACTTTCTAATTTTTAATAATATTTTAATCAATATCAGATTATCTACATAATTTTTTAATGAGACATGTGAAACAAGTACGCTTACTCGTGTATGTATGTGTGTGTTTGTACCTGTCACCATGTTATTGTAATATAAAGAAAGCTCACTTTTAAAAAACCATTTTGTGGCATATATGGCTCTAAATTTTGTACAAATACTCTCTTCATCCTAATAATCAATATCAATAAATTAAAATTCAATTTGCACCCTAGATATTGTCAAAATGAGTTCCCCAACAATTATTCTGGATCATCCATTTAGTAAATTTCAAGATCTAGGACTTTACGACTTCAAAATCAATTTTTTATTTTTAACATAGTTAATCCAATGAAGATAAAGCTATCTAAAAGAAATGAAAAGGAAAAAAAGTCTACTAAGACCTAGATCTAAGCATCTCATTAAAATCGATGACTTATATTAATTGGGCTAAAAAAAACACTTTCTAGGGTATGTTTTAAATTTTTTCTCTTTTGTGATTATTCATTAAAATAAAAAGAATGTATATTTAGAAATTAGGATCAAATAGTTGGAATTTTATTCTACATGCACAAAACCAAAAAATGGCCGCACAAACCCTATTTTGAGAGACCTAATGTAGGTTAGGGAAGGAGAGATTAGGGTTTGGCATGACATGGCACATTGCTCCCTCTCATCCCCAATAAAATCTCATCTACTTCCATATTATTTCTCTAATTCAAATAAGAAACTTAATATGGCCTAAAACAAAAGAGAAGTGTGCAATGTATTCGTTTTATTACATGAAAGACTGCCATTGGATTATTGTCAGAATCATTTTTGTATTAAAATAACTAAGATATTATGGGTATTAAGATATCTATGAATTTATTGCATTCATGAACTTGCCAATGTCCCTAAATCTCTTTGCTTTTGTAGATGTCAATAACCCCCCTAAATTTAGGTTTTGATAAATCCATGAACGTGATTGTCTCCTACAAAACCTTTCGGTGTCCTACCATAATTCAAATTTGAAAGTATTCGTTTTTCTGACATATATTTTTTTGGAAAAGCTTTCTATATTTTTCTTACAACATAAAACTTATACACTTCCCCTTATCCAATTGTCCATTCTAAATGGAGGGCTAAGATTGCCCCAATCACAATGTCACGTCTCTACACTAGTTTATTTTTAAATTTTTTTTTATAAACTTTTTTGAGACCAAATTTTGGACGTCCAATCCTCTATTAAACTTGCACTAGTGAAAAATATAAAACAATATTTTCAATAAAAATAAAATGACCAAAATACCGCTGAAACTTTCAATGGGTATTTTGGTCATTATATTTTATCCAAAAATTATTTTTAATATTTTTTATAGGTGCGCCCCAATGAGAAGATGACATGTATCAAATTTCATGTTCATTAAATTTATATAAAAAAAAACTAAAAATAAAATACTTTGAGATGTCGGATCTAAGATAAAACAGTGAGTGGCTCTCTTGATCAAAATTGGACGACTGGATGGTAGGAGAAGCATAGATCTTCTGTGCTATAGGGGAAGTATAGAAACCTTTCCCATATTTTTTTATAGACAATTTTTTTCTTATGATGGATTCCCCATCTCTAACTTTAGTAATAAAATGATACTTTTCTTAAAAAAAGGAAAAATTCATGTTTCTTTGTGAATGCTAGTACTCCTTCCTGCCATATTATTGGTTAAAAAAAAGTAAGAATATTTTCCTTTCCAAAAATAATTTTGGGAGCATTCTTGTGGGTCGGGTGGGCCCGACACTAAAAAACTAAGACCTAGGACACGTGAAGGCAGGTTCGGCTTCGTTTTTCATATTTTTTGTTTGTTTTGGTTGAATTTTACCTGATGCAGCCTGGCCAAGGCCCGGCCTGGGGCAGCCCTAAGGGGCATAGATCTAGGCTAGCGCTAGGGCTAGTTATTAATAAGCAAGAGAGAGAGAGGATTTTTATCTTTTTTAGAAGTAAAGGGCAAGATTTCTATATTTCCCTTGCTACATATAAGATCTATGCTTCCCCTACTATCCAGCTATTTAATTTTGATCAAGAGAGCCACTCACCATTTGATCTTAGATCCGACGTCTCAAAGTATTTTATTTTTAGTTTTTTTATACAAATTGTATAAATATGAAATTTGGTACATGCCATCTTCTCATTGGGACGCACCTATAAAAATTATTAATTTTTTTTTTTAAAAATATAATGACCAAAAAACCCCTTGAAACTTACAAGGGTATTTTGGTCATTTTATATTATTTAAAATAATTTTTATTATATTTTTTTGCCAGTGCGAGTTTAATAGAGGATTTGACGTCCAAAACTTGGTGTAAAAATAGTTTATAAAAAAAATTAAAAATAAAATAGTATAGAGACGTGACATTGTGATTGGGGCAATCTTAGCCCTTCATTCACAATGGACGGTTGGATAAGGGGAAGTATATAAGTTTTATGTTGTAGGGGCCTCTTCCAAAAAACCTAAGCCGCACAATGAACTAAGCCATTTCTAAAACTGAATCTGGGCCGTCGACCTCACTCCCACTTGGCCGCCTTTAACGTCCTCTTGGTAGGTTCAACGAATTTGAAATAGAAATGAGGCGGTCAGGAACTCCCACGTATCTAACGTGCAACTTGGTTGAGATCCAACGGTTCAGAAATGTAATGCAAAGGAACAAGGCTTCTGCTTGACGTTGATTCTTCTGAACTTGCATAGGTTTTAACGCCTCATGAAACATGTATAAGCAGGCCTCAACGTTCATTCGGTGTCAATTGCATTTTATAGTCTGTTCCTTTTTCTCTTCTTTTTTGTTATGTTTTTCAAGTTTAAATTTATTTATTTAGTTGTTTTTTCCATTTGTTACTTTTTATTTTTTGGAGAAACCCATTGGAATGCACTATTTTGTAAATGTAAGTTCATCTTTATTGACACTGTTCATTCCAGTTCTTGAAGGAATTGTTTCTGAAAGAAAATTATGGTAAAATTCAGAAAGCCATGGATGCATTTGCTTTTTTTCTTTTTCTTTTTTATGATTGTTTATAGTGTAGTATTGTGCAGTGGAAGGGTAATGGGACATGTATTTGTCATGTTTTGGAATTATTTTATTTTATTTTAATGTATTTTAGTTTTGCTTGGTTTAGGATTTAATGGTCTATTGTTGGCTTTTGCATGGTTTTCATGGGGTTTCAGTTGTGTTTCATATGAGTATGTCTGATCACTGAATGATGATCAGACACTGAATGGCCGTATTTTTAATTAAAATGAAAATTTTATGGCACTAAAATCTCTTTTAAAATGTATTTTTCATTGGGTTGGTGTAGATTTTTGCATTTATTTGTTATTCTATTATTGCTTTGGCATGGTATGGTATTTGCTGATTCTTTTCAGTTCATGAGAAATGTTTATAGGTTCTCACTTTTGAAATGTATTGGATTTGTAGTGTGTCTTATGGATTGTAACATTTCAGATCAAGTTTTAATCTGAAATGGTAGTGTTTTATATTGGAATTGAAATATTTTTTTGGGATCTTATATTTTTGTCTTTTGTATTTTTGATTGGTTTGTTGCATGACTAAAGAGTTCCAATTGAAAAGCCTGACTGCGTTATTGTTGTCTTTCAACATTGGGTTAAAATTGTTTAAATTGGGTTTTCTTTCTCTTGGCTTTAAAATTGTTTAAATTGGGTTTTCTTTTTCTTGGCAAAAAATTAATAACAAATAGTACTAGTTTTGGACTTGGGCTTCAATGGTTAAGGTTCTGACTAGTGCAGCATTAGATCCTAGGTTGAATTCCTACCATTGAACTACCAAAAAGAAATGATAATGGTATAATTCAAGTGTAATCAATACTTTAGTTTTTTATCTTCTGGCCTTTAACTTACACAACTACCATTGCACATTTTTCTGATACTTTGGCATTGTCAATTTTTGTGTTGGTGTGCATGCTTGATCCAATGGTAAAGATCCACATCCCCCTTCATGTCTAACATTGTTTGCTATATTCTGCTCTTTACATCAGGTTTCTCCCTTCTGTATTATTTCTTAGGATGCTTAGGTGAACTTGTGAAACTTGAAAGTTTCATTGACAGTTCAATATTTTTCAGATATTATAGCAAATATCAGACAGTATGGAGGAAAATAACATAAAAAGTACGCAAAAACCAGGTGGAAACAAAGACTTCTTTGGATCCAGAGAGCTACCGGAAGAATTTGCAGCTTTGGATGGCGACTTTTGCAAGTGGTTGAATGAAATGGCCTCTATGCCTGTAAGTTCTTTTTTATCCCATTTAATTAGTTCGCTGATTGCTGCTTCTGAACGAAGTTATTCTCAAGAGAGAATACTTACAGCATGCATTATAAAGTGGTGTAATCCGACTTAAACTCGTTCAACATGCACATTCCCTCGCTTTAGCAGGCTTCTTCATTTATGTTATGTGCTCATAACTCTGGTAATTGAAGGAAGGATATATTTCTAATGTGGGTTCCTATTTAAATAATCTACCCTGTAATCTCTATGATGTTAGAAATTTTATTTGAGATCTCGTATAATGAATTCCATACCTTTTAGTGGCATTTTGTGTTGCATTTGTCTTGAAACCCAATAACCAAGGGATTGTTTCTTTTTATTTTGTGTCTCATATTATCATATTATCAGGTGATTATATTAACCAAATTATTACTGTCAAGGAATTGATTTTGGGGTAGTTCTATTTGGATAAGAATGGTATGTGATCCCACCTAGAAAAAGATCGAGTTAGGTATCCAAAACGCTAGAAAAGTGGAGGGCCTCTTCATAGGTGTATTTTGGGTCAGCTTTTCTCCATACTACATTGTATTGTAGAAAGAAAAAATGCATAAAAAGAAAAGTAGGGAAACTTTGGATATAGAGAGAAAGAGAGAAGCTTCGTGAGAGATTGAGTTTTGTATCTCTGGTTCTATCAGTTAAGAGTCATCTTGTAATTTTTTTTCTTTGATTCGTGAAAAACCGTCGATCATATTCACCTGTATTCTTAATATATTATTTGTTTTCTGCTTTATTTTTCTTACTAATCATTTGCTTAGCTCTGGCTCTATTTTTCTCATTCTTTATTTGTCAAAAAATTAATCCATTGGGTTTTGGAGGTTCCGCATACAACATTTATTGGAGCTTGGTTTCAGGTTGTTGGTATCGAGGTAAAGGTTCTGAATGCAAAGTTTGAGATGGAAAAATTTGATGGCAAAAAAAACTTCGAAAGTTGGCAAGTCAATGTTCAGGATTTGCACTAACTTTTTAGTGCAAGAAGGTTTATATATTGCTTTAAAAGGAAAGACAAAGAAACCAGTGTCCATGTCAGATGAGGACAATAAAGACTTAAATTTGATGGCTATTTGATTGTGCCTATCGAGCAAAGTATTATTTAACATTGTGTGTATTCCTCTCACTAAGTTGTGTACAACTACATTCTCTCTTTGTGTGTGTTCCTCTCACTAAGTTGTAGTCCCCCACAATTTATCTGCATTGTTTGGTGTCAGAGCTTGAGTTCAATCTGGGCAGGATATTATTTCTATAGGGCTTTTCCATGGCGGCAAGAAGGGGAAGACATGGTTGTGGCAACCACAGAGTGAACAACACAAAACATGAATAATTGGAGGAACTTTGGAGGCAAGTGCAGCAGCTAATCTTGCGACTCGAGCGTCAAGAAGCTCGCAGTGAACATGAACTCAGCCATGAAAACTTAAGTGATAAGTTGGAGACCCAGATGGTAATTGACAGGTTATATTCATGGTGTGATCATAGTCAATAGTTTGGTGCCCTATGTCATGGAACTAGGTGCCAAATAGATGATAATTTGGGCAGGTATTAGGGAACTCTATTCGAGAACTACTATGGATAAACTTTGTTCTCATTAAATATTCTCAGTTATTGCGGACTGAGACTTACTACCAATCTTGGACAAGTCCCGTGATGATGATTTAGGTGTTGAGAAAGAAGTTGGCAACAATGACTTTAATGGCGATCTAGTCAATAAAGAGGATTGAGAAGAAGATCATACTCTTAGAGAGGATTTTATGGATGCTCATGTTTTTTATGAAGAACCAGTGGACGTGAAGGAGTTGATTGCAAAATATTGGAGATAACTTGTTTATTTGTCTGAAAAAGGAACAAGTGAAATAAATGATAAAGGGGAAGAAGTAGACAAGGAAACAATTAGAGTCAGGAATTGTAAAGAACTCCTTTCTTTCAATGATGGTGATGACAATCAATTGTGTTTAGACTCGAATGACTTCTTTCTGCTACTTTATGGTGACTGCCTTGGCTGTGCCCTAGCTCTCTATGTCTTATCTGAACTGGGGGTGCCAGAGATTTGCTCAAAGGAGCTGATGCCATTTTCATTGGTTGTTCTTATTGATGAGTTTGTTGAAAATAATGTACACCAAAAAGTGTATGATAATGCTTTCAATGCTAGAAGGAAGGATGACCTATTATTTCATCTTAAGTGAAGATCCCTATAGCAACTCACCGAGTTCGAATTGAAAAAGGTTGTGGTTGTACTGTAAGACTCGTCTTAGCCTATTTCAAAGTTCATGGGCAAGTATTATCAAATGATTTTAAGGCTACGAATATTATAGAATTTCTCTACAGAGATGATAGTTCTCATCGAGTATTATGGTGTTTCGAATACAAACTCGAGGGTGAGTTCTCTCGAACACAGGGAGGATGATGTAGGGCCTAATATGGGACCCACAAATCTAGCATGGACAACTAGTTTCCACGAGCCTAGAATGGTGTAATAGTAGGTTTCCAAAGTCTTGAAAGGGGTAAAGAGAGAGTCAACGTAAGTAGCCAAGATTTGGGAGTTGGAGTATGCTTAGGAACTTGGTTGATTGTGCAATGAGAATAGGTTAGCTTTTAATATATATTGGAAACTTGAAAGACAAGTAGCATAAAATGGGTTGGACATTCCAAGTTGGAGCTCATATTGTATGCAATTTCAATTTTGAATATTGAATTTTTTTGTAATATTGTGGTGAGCTTTGACTCCCACCAATTTTCTCTCTCTACATTCTCTTACTATTCCTCTCACTATTTTGTAGTCCCCCTAGTTTAGCTGCATCAAGAAATTTGTTAAGATAAATGAAAAGGGACGTGAAAGTTAGGGTATGTCTAGATCCAAATCCAGATAAGAAAAAGTTAATGTTTGATGCTCTTACAACAAGAAAACGAGGAATGTTAAGAGGGATTGTAAAAAAAATCCAAAGAGAATGAAAAAATAACCTTTGGTGCGGCCAGTATTATAGATGGAAGCTAGGAAAGTGGAATAGATAATGTATTTTCAGTCTCTTTAAAGTGCGATTATGCTAAAGACGCGCGGGTTCTTTATTTAGGATGTCCCCATTACGTGTGTGCTCATTGGGATTGGTTCACCAAACATAGGAGGCTTAATGTTGGATTAGTTTTGATGGGGAATGATGCATTTTGTAGGACTGTTGGATAATTACTATCAAGATGCATGATGGAGTTGTGAGAACCTTAACTAATGTGAGATATGTTCAAGATCTGAAATAGAGTCTTATCTCTTTAGGAGCTTTAGTGTTACCTTATCAATGGCTACAAATTTAGTGGAGAAGGTAGACTCCTAAAAGGCACCTTCATTGTAACAAAGGGTAAAATGATTGGATTGAATTTATATGTGCTACTTGGGTTTACCATCACAGATAGAGTAACCATTTAAGTATCTACTGGTAATGATCTAACTTGACTCAGTTGTTGCATATGTGGCTATTCCACTCGAAAGAGTTCGCATTAGAATGAAGTTGATGACTTTTGGGCAGATGTAGTCAATACAACGTGTTACCTCATCAATAGGTCGCCATCTATGATAAAACTATGGCAAGTGGTATGGTGTGGTAAAGCTACTAAGTATTCTCATTTAAGAATTTTTTACTGTTCATTTTATATTCATGTAAAGGATGATAAGTGAAGTCCAAGGCCAAAGAAGTGTATAATCATTGGTTATATAGATAGAGTTAAAGGCTATAGATTGTGGTGCCTAAAACCTAAGTTACCTAAGTTTATTATCAGTTGTGATATTAGTTTCATGAGTATGTCGTATGGAGGTGAATTTAGAAGGGTGAGGGAAAAGAAAATTAGGGTGTGTTTGACACAGGGAGTTTTTTGGAGTGGAAGGGATTCTACCACAAATTGTGGAACACTGCTCTTCCATCATTTTTGATGGAAGAGAGGTCTTCCAAAAATGAACCCATTTTAACACTAAAAAAAAGTTGAATGCAAGGTCACCCTTCCACTTTACAGCTTCCACATAGTAATATCAAACATGGAAGTAGGTTATTTAACTCCCACTTCCAAAAACTTTCACTTATGAAGCACGCCCTTATAGTAGTGGTGTACAATTAAAGTGGAGTCAAAACTCTAGAAAATTTTTCAAAATATGTGCCCCATAAAATCCCAGTGAAAGAGTGGTGGAAAATATTAACTATGAGGAGGTCGTTGAGCGTGCTCCACATGAGGAACAACCCTAGCTTGGAAGGATAAAAATCGCAAAAAATCTAGTTTTACAGTATAGATTTGAAGACATAGTGGCTTACACATTGATTATTATAATCCAAGAGTCATCCACTTTTAAGGAAGTTACACATGATATTGAATGTAGCAGGTGGAATCATTCAATGAAAGAAAATATAAAGTTTCTTTAGAAGAATCTCACCTAGGATACTGTGAAGTTACCTAAAGGCAAGAGAGCCATTAGATATGAGTGGGTTTATGAGAAGAAAGTAAGGCCACTTGAGTTTGGTGGTGATTGGCTTAAGGCATGTTTGGTTGTAAAAGGCTATATATAAAAAGAAGGTGTTGACTATGACCAGATCTTCTCTTCAGTTTTAAAACATACTTTTATTCAATTATTACTGACCATGGTTTCATTGTTTAATTTGATGTTAGGACCGCATTTTTGTATTGAGAGCTAGAGGAACAAATTTATATAACCCAGCTTCAAGGCTTTGTAGTTAAACGCAAGACAGACAATATCTGTAAGCTGAAGAAGTTATTATATGGCTTAAAGCAATCTCCTTGGCAGTGGTAAAAACACTTTGATACATTCATAATTGAACACGGGTATTTCATATGATAATTGTACATCTTTTAAGAGATTTACTAATGCCTCATTCATATATTTATTGTTCTGTGTGGATGATATGCTTATTGCTTCGAAGAATACTTCATAAAGTCGTATATTGAAGATCAGCTTGCTAAAACTTTGAGATAAAACATTTGGATTAGCAAAGAAAAATTTGGGAATGGACATACCTCTTGCTTCACATTCAGATTGTTTGCACTATTATCTCTAAGTACATATGTTGAAAATGAATACATATTGCATATTCCCTATGTTACTGCAGTTGGAAGTCTCATGTATGTAATGGTTTGCACGCACACAGATCTATCTCATGTTAGTATTGTAAGCAAGTATATGGATAATCCAAGAAAGAAGTATTAGCATGTAGTAAGCTGGATTTTGCATTCGCTAACAGATGTGGGTTTGGTGTTTGATAAAAACAACAAGTCTGGTGATAATTTTATTGATTATGTTGATGCTGATTATGCAAGTGAATTTGACCATAGAAGATCTACTACATGTTATATATTTACACTTGTAAGAAATTAAAGCAGTTGGAGGTCAATGCAATAAATCATGGATGCCTTGTCTACGACTAAAGCAGAATACATGGTTGTTACCAAAGTAATGAAATAAACCATCTGTCTTAAGGAGCCTATTAATAATTTGGACTTACAACTGTTAGAAACTCTATTTCTGTATATTTGGCCTTAAGCCCCCATAGAAGATCTATTTAAGAGCTTATCGAAGATGTTAACAAGAGCTCCAATTTATAGGGTTACAAAGTTGTGTACTATTAAAGAAAGTCACATATGCAATGAACTACCTACCTAATATGGGTACACATAAAATAAAGGAAAATATTGTACCAAAAACTAAGTGTAGGTTTCTATAATTTCCACACTCCCCCCTCAAAGTCAAGATGTATTACGAGAGAGCAACTTGAGTTTGGAAGGCAGGCCCATAGAAACAAAGCAAGAACAAAAGAAGCTTGAGCAACTGCAAATTAGCGATCCTCAAAAACCGACTCCTCGAACTTAACATAACAACAAATCAAGAGGAGACATAATCGAGTAAC